ATATCTCCATTGGAGTCCATATGCCGAGAATATGGAATGGATGGATTACCCAAAGAGTGGTACCAACCCCGGTTGCGACAAGGGGTTCATGCACGATTCTGTACGACCAGCAAATCCACACACTGACGGAACTGATTTTTATCATAGTAAAAAACAAGAGTTTGAGTAATTTAATTAAATTATTTATTAATTATTGATTTAAGTATTGATCGAATTTCTATATTTTAAATCTATCAATCTTTAAGGGTTAATTTTCTGATTTTTGATTGTTTTAGGTTTTAATCTGAATCAAGTCAGGAGGAATTGGTAACCCACATAATAATAATAATAATTGATTTTAGCGAAGGGAATTATGAAAAGGAACAAGAGACTCCATTTAATCTCCTGAGCTGATTATAAGTAGAAGTTGAGCTAAACATCTTGTCATACTGAAGAAGGAATAAAAATACTTGGAACTAATTTATTTATAGTATTTTGTGGATATAAAATCTTTGTACTCGTGTTTTAAATGTGAATCTATTGATTGTATATTATTTTACTCTTCCATTTTCTTTTAAATAACCTGTTGTTACATTATAATATATATTTTGCCAATAAAAATATTAAAAATATTTGTAACTAATTTATTTATTGTATCGAGTGAATATAAAATCTCCATACACCCCCCATCCAAATTTACAAATTTATCCATACAAATTTTGCGATATTTTGCATTTTATTTTTTATTATACCTCCTTGGATATTATGTTTTACTGATACATCAGAGGAAATTTTTCGATGTTTTTAGTTAAAAATGACCTTGACCGCGAAAATCCAACGTTTACGATTTATTCTAAAGTAGGTCGACCTTGAATACAAGGCCATTAGTTTTAAAATTCAATTTTGTGAAAATTTTCATGGTCACAATTTTTCAACCAAGGTCGACCTTGAATTCAAGGCCATTAGTTTTACATTTCAATTTTGTGAAAATTTTCATGGTCACGTTTTTTCAACCAAGGTCGACCTTGTTTACTGTTTACGCTAAGTAGGACGACCTTGTACACATTTTATTTTAAATGTGACATTTTATTTTCGCGGGAACCCAATGTTGCATTTTTTTTTTATTTTATTTTATTTTACTTTATACCTCCTTGGATCTTATGTTTTTCTGATACATAAGATCAAATTTTTCACAAAAGAAAGGTAGAAGAGTAGAAACCTGGAATATATGTTGAAAAAGCTCCGACAAACATCAGGACGAATTGTCGTCATTATAATAATAATAATAAGCGGCATACCAGAATGCCATAATTGGAATAGGAAAATACATAGAATCCCATTAAGAGGACGCTGTCTTAGCTCAAGTCATACATACGGATGAAAAAATTACAAAAAAAGGAGTACTGAAAAGGACAAAACAAATCTTCCAAGAAAATAAAGAAAACGAGATAATGGAAGAAGGGCAACAAGCCCGGTTACGACAGTAGGTTCATGCACAGTTCTGTATGATCAACAAATCCACACTGACAGAACTGTGCCAGCCAACAAACCGGATATTCTTCCTCAGACATAATGCGGAAAAATGGTGTAAGTTAATTGAGGTATCCGTGCCGGCAGAAAAAAACACCACAGCCAAAGAAGCAGACAAAAAGCTGAAGTACAGAAATTTAGAAATTGAAATAGCCAGGTTGGTTGATTGAAATAGCGTGATTGGTTAACTTAAAGTAAAAAAAAACTAAACCTCTTGATTCTTATATTTTTCTGATACATCAGAGCAAATTTTTCGATATTTTTAGTGTAAAATTTTAAGATTAGAAAAATTCTGAACTGCCTTCAGATTACTTAAGTTTATAGGTACAAAATTATAATTTGTATAAATTAAGAATGAAACCCAGGAGTACAGGAGATAACTCGTTTCCATCGAATAAGACGGTCTCAGTGGCAGACATACAAGAATTATTGTGATGCCATAGGTTATAACAAGAGGAAACTTATTCATCAGGCATGCAGCAACACCATCACTGATATTCAGGTATTTATTCCTTAGGGATCGTCCGTCGGGTGGAAACCTGGAATGTGAATGTTGAAAACCTCCTCCGACACAAACATTAAGACGAGTAATAATAATAATAATAATTAATATATTTAAAATATTTACAAAAACGTATTAAACACAAAATTGAATTTAAAAAAAAAAAAAAAAAATTAATTATATATATATATATATATATATATATATATATATATATATATATATATATATATATATATATATATATATATATGATTCGAATTTTCCCGCTAATGAAAACGGAAACGGAAATCGAAATGCGAAAATTATTATTTAATAATTAAAATCGTTCGCAACGTTGTCAGCAACGTTGGAATTACGTAAAGTGCGCGAGAATTACAATTAATTGTTTTTCAACTTCCATAATAATAATAATATTAATAATAATGATAATAATAATAATAATAATAATAATAATAATAATAATAATAATAATATTTTTCGT